CACACACACACACACACACACACACACACACACACACACACACACACCACAAAGTTCTCATGAGAAACCACCGTTGTGCCCACACCTGCAAAGATAACGCCGCACACACACAATTCTTCCTGTTTCTTAAAAACTGTCTGTTTCTTCTTGTTAGTCAGTCTTCTGTTCATCTGCTCTCCCTCCCGGGGCACTGGACGTCCCGGGCTTCTTTTCCTATACTGGAAATCAGTCACTTTTCCAGTTCACCTTGCAGCATAATTTTCTCATTTTTACAAGGACCTTGTCTTTTTGGTGAAATACCATTTTTGTGTCAGGCTGTCCCGCCTGAAACCTGAAATCAACCTCCTTGCTGTGAGCTCCTCAAAGACCTAGCTTCGAGTGCTGCCACGCTGTTGCTACCTCCGAATCTATAAGAAGGGGATCTGTATTGCCCATTTGTCTGACCCCGAGAAGGCCTCGGTCTTGCGCTGAGCAATAAGCGCCTGCCCAAAGCTACTTCTGGTCTGGTTTGGAAGACCTCTGGTCTGCGGTAAAGGACCGAAACACTGGCTCACTTTGCCCCAGGCATTTCGCTCACAGAGAACATAATTTAACCTTTAAAAAACCCTTTAGAACTTTAAAAGATATATCTGTGTTATTTGTCTTCTCTCTCTGTCTGTCTCTCCCACCTAAATATACACACGCACCCCCACACACACATTGACCCTTTGTACATAAATTAATCTGCTTTTGCTTAGATAAATTATTAGATAAATTGCTTGGAAGTAGAAACTATAACGTTTTTAGTGAGAGCCCATTTTATTGTTCGTTGTATGTAACCACAAATATTAATCATCCATTAATCTCTTTTAATAAAAGTCAGTTAACTTTTACTGGCCAAAATAAACCTGAACGACTTTGTGTGTTTCTGTATATTGTGATTGATTGATTCATTTTTGCTTCAACAGAACCGTTACCGAGCCAGGAAGGAAAACTCTTCATTAGAAATCATATTCATGATTTTAACAGGGGGTTTTACACTATAGTAATTTGCTGGAGTTTAGTCTCTTTCCTCTGAACCAGTGAGGATGACTCAGGTGTGTGGGTCGCCTTGCAGTCACAGACCTTCATCAGCTCTCAAACATCTTCCATGGAACTGAGATCAGAGCTTTTCTGATGACCCCTCCAAAACATTAATTTAGTTTGTGAATCACTTTAATAGCTAAAGATGGTAATAACCTCCTGGTTGATGTCACGAGACTTTGATGCAGTATTTCCACATGATGGTTTTTTTCCCCCTCATTTTACCAACTAGTGTGTGAATCACACAAGTTCCTGCTGCAGCAAAAGAGCAAACAAAACAAATCCTCCACACATGATTCTGACACCGCTGTGCTTCCCAGTTGGGATGGTGAAAGCCTCATTGTGGCCGAACAATTTAGTTTTAGTTTCATCCGACCACAGGACTTGTCTCCATAATTAAGGTATTTGTTTGGCTTTTTAGATTGCTTTCAGCTCATGTTGGTACAGAACTTGTTTGCACACCAACTTAAAAACAATGCCATCATGACCAGACCTGGCCCACATCTGGTTAACAAAAAAGACTTACCATGCCAGAAGCAGTGCCAGCTTGACACCAGATCAGAGTGGTGAAAGTTGACATTTTTCTTCCTGATATCTTGGCTGACCTCTTTTGGGCTGTGTGCCTTAAAATGCATCCACAGGTGTGCTTCCTTTTAGCTCAAATGTTGTCAGCTAGCCAATCAAATGCGTCCACCGCCATTACATCATCATCATCATCATCATCTGGGCTTTCACAAACTGTTTAAAATCCCAAATCCATCTTAATGTACAAAATGTAAACTTGTCATTTTGAAGAAAGTAATACGAGTTTTTTCTAAAAACTTTTTCCATCATTATTTGGATTTTTGGATTCCTAAAACAGAAACGTTTTGGTCTGAGTTGAAGTCAGGCTGTGAGATGAAATTCTGAGTAAAAATCTGGTTTCAGCTGCATAAGAAGTGGTCCGGCAAGAGTGAAACTGAATTTGTTGACCATCAATCTTTGCAAAAACATAAAAACAAAATCCATGTATCTCACATGTGGAGAATCATGTGTGTATGTGTGAAACCCTGTGTTCTGTTGTAATAAACCCACAGTATAACAGGTTTTCTAATGTGTTATAACATTTTCAAAGTACATTTTACCACTTCATTTTCCTCAAAATGAGCCCCCCAAATCGTTCGTATAGTTATCATTAATCAAATAGACTTGAAATAGACTTGTTTTGGTGAAATTTGATGAAATTGTTTGTGTTTTTTTCACTTTTCTTTTGTGTGTGTTACAGTTATTCAAATGTTTGTTCACTCCATTCTGTTTCTGCTGCCTCTGACAATGTGTCTCACAGGAAAAACAAAGTTATAAATGAAAACTTAGTGATGAAACTGCTCGTAAATTTGCTAAAAAGAAATAATGAAGCATCCAAAATTAGAGAAAAAACAAATGTCAGAAGGACTTTTTTGTGACAAACTTGTTTATCATGTTTCGATGCCCATACTATTTGTGCCATGCTACTGATAAAAATCGTTTCTGTCAACCCACTCACTTTCAGTTGACAATACGATGGAAACCCAGCCCACCTCAGCTTCCAGCCTATTAGATTTGGGTAATTTTATAGTTTTCCTTTCTTAGAGAAGTGCCTGTGTCGTCACCAAAAGACTTTTAAATATGTTTTTTTTTTTTCTGTTCAGATCAAATGGAGGGCACAGCAGATTCTGGTTCAGGATCCTCAGCAGATGGTAAGTTGATGGTTAACTGATGCAGCTGAAGTGTCGTATTTCTTGGATAACACAGTTAATTTGTAGTACCAGTCATTGTGCTGTTTGAAAACAAAAGATAGAAATTAGGTGTTGCCATCCAGACCAGGCCTCACTTTATCATCACTAATCTGCTACTATTATTCTTCTACAAGTGGAATATGTGAATTCAACAGATCTGGCAGAAGAGGAAAAGGAGTTGGATCTGCTTACCATCCTGATCCCAGCGATACTGGGCGTCGTGCTACTCGTCGCCATCGTTTGTGGCACCGTCATCATCAAACGTCAGTGTAGCAAAAACTCAACAAGCCAAGGTTTGTCCATCACAAGAAGCTGTCTGTTCTGTCCACGTCACAAACAGCAACACTTTTTAAAAAAAAAAGTCAAGTAAAGTCTGATGTTGAGAGCATTTAAACAGCAACTTAAATCTAATATTATATATTTTTACATTGTAAAAATGTTTTTTTTTCCAAAAAAAAATTTTTTTTTCAGATTTACAAACTTTTTTTTTTTTCTAAAACATTTATAACCTTCTCACTTCATCCCAGGCTCAGAACAAATGAAAAGTTATTTCACCAAAGTCAGATTCAGATTAAAATCTAGTTCCATGCAGGTGTAATGCAGTAGAGTTTTTTAATTTAGTGCTTAAACAAAAACCTGACAACATCAATATTAACGATTCATTTATTTTTTTCTCATCATGGTCAGCTGGTGCCTACAATAACTCTGGAACTCATTACCACCCCACCTTAGAAACATAAAGTCATTCTCAAATTTTAAAACCGAACTCAAAACACACCTTTATAGATCTGCCTTTTCCACATGACACAATTGGTTTGCCTGATTTTTACATAGATTTTTACATAGATTTTATACAGATACATTGTTTTTTAATCTATTTTTATTGTTATATTTTATTTGTTTCTGTTACTTTTTACTCTGTACGGTGTCCTTGAGTGCCAGAAAGGCGCCTTTGAAATTATTATTAATAGCTCCAGCTGTCACTGTGAGAGAGACAGGAGACAACCTGGTCACAAGTCTGCTGCAGGGACACATAGAGACAAATGAGATAAAACATCTATTCACACTCTCAAATCTGGAGTATCTCAGAAGTATAGGCAGGGAGGATTTTGTAAAAATAAATAAACTGTAGTAAAACATGAACATTATTAAGAAAAAAATCAGTGCATAAAAGTAATAGATTTTATGTGTTGCTCAATTGTTTTATTCATTTAATTGTGAAGCACTTTGGCCAACTTCTGTTATTTTTATGTGCTATATAAGTAAAATTGACATTGACATTGTAAAAGTCAGTCCCTTTCTTTATCTTTTTTATCTTTTTTTTCTGACTATATAAAAAAGAGAATTGTTGTCTCATTAAAACAAATCTGTTATCCACATGTCCTCGGTTGAAAATTTTAGTCTGATTTTTTTTATTGAAATTTGCTGAACTGATCAGGAACAATTCTAAAGGAAAAAAGTAATTACAAAAAAAACTATATTTTTAAACATAGGTCATCCCTTCCCCCTTTGTAGACAAGTTTTTTTCTGTCAGAATTTAGAATAGTAAAAAATACATTTGGTATTGAGATAAAAATCACTGTATATCTTTAAAGCCTGATTGAAAAAAAAGAAACTTTGTCAGCAGGGTTAGTTCTATACAACACAACCTATTATTCTGTCTTGTTTAAACTGACCCATGTAACTGTCAGTGCTGATAAATGTGCCTGCTTTCTTCTTGCAGAGCAAAGTAAAGAAGATCCATATCTGGACGGGTCCAGCACAGAGAAAGTACCCATGTATGTTTCTCAGTCCTCATTGTTACTTATCATTTAAACTAAACTAACTAAACTCAACATGAGAGTTAATCAAGAAGGGTTTCTCACAACCCTCCTACAACATTGCATTGCTCGAGACTTTCTCTGAGGACTGTGTGTGTGTGTGTGTGTGTGTGTGTGTGTGTGTGTGTGTGTGTGTGTGTGTGTGTGTGNGTGTGTGTGTGTGTGTGTGTGTGTGTGTGTGTGTGTGTGTGTGTTTGTGTGTGTGTTTTGTCCAGGCCCATGTTTGAGGAAGACGTCCCCTCTGTCCTGGAGCTGGAAATGGACGAACTGGACAAGTGGATGCAAAAAGACTGTAGGTTTCTGTGAAAAGTTCCTGAAAAGGCAAATGTTTGTAGAAGACATTAATACTGAAGAGTTTTGCGTGAAAGATTAAATTTTCACTCAAATACACATTGGTTTTGTCAGAACAAGCTTCACAATTTAATTTTATTTAGATTCTTATCAAATATTGCAGAAATAAATCTGAACATATTGATGTTTTTTGAGGGTGGGGCTTTATTCAGACTCTCATAGTTGTAAAAGGAAGTAACTTTTCTGGGAGCTTTTTTTCAACCTCTTTGCTTGGGAGCTATCAGCATTTTTCCAGCAGAGGGCCCTGTTCTGTAAGAACTGCTCATATTGCAAGAGCTCCTGTGTTGAAAATCTCAGTTTATGTTCAGTTTTACCTCTTGGGTTTGCAGCTTTCTTTAAATCAAACTAAACTCATGAATCCCCGAAGCGCACAAGGCCCAGATCTCCTGCTCCATCCTACCATCACTCAGGAACAAGACAATACCTGATCTCGTTTTGTAAACTAAACTCCATGTAACAAAATAAACTATTTTCAGGAACAAGTGTGACCAAAAACGTTTGATTCAAACTTAGTGATTCTGGTTCTGCAAAAACTAAAACCAGAATCTCACTAAACTTTGATTGTTGAAGACTCAAAGTTGTGACCAAGTGACCACAATTTGAGCAGCCAGCATTTAAAAATCACAACCTCCTTTCATTGCACGTCATTTTGTTCAATGCAACCTTACTGTCAGTAGAGCTCACTTGTTGTGGCACTCTAACTCAGGGATATTCAACTGGTGGACTGTGGACCACATCCAGCCCACCGGTGACTTTGTTCTGGCCCACTGATGAGTTAAAATAAAATAAAATAAACTTTTTTAGACTTAAGGACAAATATATCCCCACCTCTGTCTTCATTAAACATAAAAATAGATGTTCATTGATAAAGAAACATTTTTAAAATTTAAAATCTGGTTTATTTTACATTTGATTTTAAATCTGAAAAGCTGTTGTCTTTCAGTAGCTATGGCCCTCTGAGCTATTCAGGTGAATTGATCTGTTCTAACTGAAATGACATGCCTGCAACAACTCTGTGACTTTTTAGACAGAATGTTTTTTCACCAATCTCTCAGTCTCTCAAATGCCAATTTTAAGGTGATAAGATGCAAAGCTTTGCATTTTCTGAGGGGGGAATTTTAATTTAGTTCAATTGCCAACAGTAGCAGAAACCATCTTAAATGAATTGCTGCCATCTTAAAACAACTCCAATTTTTTGTAAACATTTACACCGCCATCGTCACTGCACTGCTTGGACAGTTCTGCAGAAATATTGCAATATTCCTTTTCTTTGTGCACCAGACTGCACAGGAAATGTTACAGCTAGTCATGTGAAATGCAAAGTTTCATAAAACATTGTTTTGCTTCAACCACAAAGAGCTATCTACAACAGGTAAGACACTGACTGTCTGTAACCTGTCCACAAAACCACAGTATGAAATTAATCAGTTGACTTGCTGCATGCTTGAGTTCATTGTGAGGGTCTCTAAGCTAACCTATAGATTTACGTTTCATGTGGGTAATGAGCTGCTTCCTGATCTGCCGCTGTTTTTGTTTGTTGTGATGCAGCTCAGCTGGTTTCAGTGCAGCCCTGACTGATGAACCGTGGACCCTTTCGTCACCACATATGACACAGTCTGAGCGACCCAGCTCTCAGAACATCTGCTTGCGATTACGACAGGCATGCATGAAAGTGTGGCGCAACTTCGCCCCGCATTAGGCTCCTTTTTTTTGTTTGTTTTGTTTTACTGGAATGGCTGGGAAAGCGAGGTCAAGGTCCGCTCACGCTGACTGTTGACCAACCTGCTTTTTTCTCAGGGTTTTGTTTCCAAAGCTGAGCAAAGTTTAGGTGGGACTTTAATCCAGCAGGGAGGCCCTCTGCACACACGGGGTTACGTAAGAGATCTGACAACAGAAGCAAATGTGTCGTCCTTGTTGCACAACGCGGTGCCATCTTCAGCAGCAGCTGTTTGTCAGACCTATGAAATTCCAGCAGGTTGAGCAGTGTCTCAAATATAAACACACATGTCTGAAAAGGGGTTGAAGAAGTAAAAACAAAAGGTTCAGTTCAAAGTTAGATTAAACTTTGTAGGGTTTTTCTGCACTCTGAGCAGGGAGAGAGCAGAATTTGTGTTGTATTTCAGTCCACCTGATGAATTAGACAGGGCTGCCTGGAGATAAAAAGACCATTAGAAGCAGTCCAACTCCAAAGATGTCATAGATTAAAGGAATAAGCTCAGAATATTAACTACAGAACTGGACCTTCACATTCCTCAGCCCAGTTTTTCTATGATCGTGTAGCATTTTAATCAGCGCAGCTTAGACGCTAAAACAAACGCTGAAAGTAAAACCAGAAAATGTCTCAAGAGCTTTTGATGGGTGTCGATTCAGTTAAGAAAAATGGTCAAAGTCTATATTTACCAACTGTATATAAAGTGCAAAGAGAACTAACATCTGAAGAAATGTTAAAGCAACTTGAACTTTTGCTCTATTAATTTTAGCCCTTTCTAATTTTAGCTTTTGCTGATTGCTTCAACAAGTTTCAGCATCACATTTCAGACTAAATCATCAAAGACTGAATTTTAAGAGAAAAAAGCCATAGGATCATTTCTCATATTTTTGACGTCATTCAATTCTTTTTACATTCTTTAAACTATTTGATGTCACCCTGAAAACCTTTCTGATCTCTCTGTTGAACATAAAACAGACCTCTGACGCCTGTCTCCTCTCATTTCATCTATCCGGTTTAAAGGAGGCTCTGATGCGCAGAAACACAGCAAACTTCACTCCGCTCAGGACTCTGATGACCTCGTCCTTTTCTGCAAAAAGTCCAGCGTCGTTTGATTCCAGAGGAGCACATCTGACAGGAAACAACAGCGTTGGATTCATCTTTAACAGAATGCTATAGAACTGACTTGCAAAGCTCAGCACCGCCTGGACGCCTTTAATGGAAATAAACAACAACAGGTTAAGAGAACGAAAAAAAATTGAGAGAGAGACTATATGAGCGTGAACAGTCAGCAGTACTGTTCCCATTTTTTTCTTCATTTTTTTGCATTTCACTTAAGTCTATTTCAGTGAAAGAGTGATAATGTTTTGTTTGTCTGCCATGTTAGCAAAATATCTCATGAACTACAGGACAGATTTTCATGAAACTCTCAGAGGGTAATCGTCGGGTTGACATCGACAGCTGATTCAATTTTAGAGTCATCTCTGTTCAAGATGGCTGCTTCAGCCAACCAACTGTAGTAAACACAAAAATAGCTGCAACATGGCCATTTTTACAGATATTGAGCTAAAATTTGATGTGACAGTAGCTCAAAGTCATGCTCCTTATGCACTGTGAGTGCTAACTGATTGCACAATTTTTGTTTTAAAAACTTTGCCACTACTTATTACAGTCAACTTTGACTGTATGTTAGCAAAATATCTTACGAACCACTTGATGGACTTTATTGAAACTCTCAGAAATTAATAATTGGGTCGGCATCTACAGCTGATAACATTTTCAGGGTCAAAGAGTTTCATGAATTGTTTTTATTTTGCTCAGGACAATGGATAAAGGCCATTGTGCCAACTCTGGTGCATTTATGTTCTTTTGAGAATTGATTAAAGTGCACTATCTTTTTTTTAAATAAAATAATATGAAATCATTTTCACAGCCAACTGACCAACTCAAAAAGGAAATGTACATTCCTTCAAGAACTACAAGATCTGTAAATGTTCAAGTATCTATGTTTAAAACAAAAAACATGAGGACTAAAGGCTTTATTCATTTCTGTAAGTTTATTCTGTCAAAGGCTAAGTGGTTGTTTTGTAAAGGACGTACAGATGTCTGCTCTCAGCTCCCCTGCTGCTTTTCCCTTCGCTCACCTTCCACTGTGTTTGACTCCCTCCAGCTGCAGATCCTAATGAGGAAGACTGCAGACACGCAGGACGAAGAACAGCTGCTTCTTGCCTCTTTGGAGCAGCCTGGGATTTCCACAGACAGACACATTGTTTTTTTTAATTATTATTTTTTTAATTTTAAAATATGAATCCCTAAAATCACCAGTCTCCCCCGGGACTTTTGATAAGTTACGGCTCTGCACCGAAACAGCTTTCCATAAGCTGCTACTGATGAGATTTGTATCTCACCACAGATAACAGATGAGTGTCTGAGTGATATCTGCTGACGCTGTTTCCCTTAAATAGTTGGATCGCAGCAAATGAACCCTGTTACAGATGGGAGTTCTTTCAGAGCCAGGCAGTGTTGGCAGTGACTCACTGTCATCAGTGCTCTTTATTGTGTTTTGTAAATATTTAATATGAGTAATGCTCTGATAATGCTACGGATAAAGATTAAAAATCAGTTTAGATCCTTTGATGAAAAAAAGCTGCCGTGTTTACTTCAGACAAAATTTTCTGTTAGAACTTTTGAATGCTAATACACACAGTTTAATGGTTCCTAATGAGGATATCCCAAAGAAATAAAGCTGAGTTTAGTTTATAAATGATTACTACCCTCCGCCAAAAGACACATGTGCACAATAATGTTTTTCCACCTGTCTGTTTGTTCTTTAGTAAAATATCTCATGAACCCTTTGGACGGTCTTAGGGAAACTTTCACCTCTTAATCTTTGGACGTACATCTACATCTGATAAATATTTGGAGTCAGTCTAACTCAATATGGCCGCCACAGCCAAGTGAACTTAGAAAACACAAAAATGACTAAAACTCAGTTGTTTTAACAGATGTTTGTACTAAAATGTGTTTGCTTAGAGACATTCACAACATATAAATACAATGATTTGTTTTGCCTAAAACTTTAGTTTTAACTCATGTGGTCAACCCAGTTCGTCTATTAGCAAAATATCTCACGAAACACTTGATGGATTTTGATGAAACTTTCCGACGATCTTTGGGTTTACATCTACAACTGATTCACTTTTGGAGTGAACCCAATTCCAAATGGCCACCACAGCTAACTGATATTAATCAACAACGATATAGCTAAACTCAGTTGGTTTTATAGATTTTGAGATAAAAAAAAATTGACGTAGCTGAGAGTCATTCAGAACAAAAACCCCAACTCCAACCCTTTCTCAGCAAAAGAGGATCTCAGTTTAAAACTCTTGTGATATCCCTTTAATAAATGACAGCCCTTTAATTTGCTCACATATTTCCATCAAATTTGCTGCCAACATTAAAATCTCAGTGGATCATTCCAAAGTTCGGTAATTTGATAACTGCACCACCTGCAGCTGAAACTCCAAATCGTTTCCCTGGGAGTCACTGTGAGATTTTTCATACTCAGAACAACGTCCACGCTTCAGATGAACTTCAAGTCATTTTGCAATGCTCACATTTTCACATCAGGGTGAATGTTACAGTTTAAAAAATATTTTTTAACCACAGTTTTCTGCAACTTTTAGTTTCAAGAACTCAAATGTTTAATTTGATCTTTAGAAGTGTAATTATTTTAGGATGTCTCTTGTAGACTTATAGCAACTCTCACACAGCAGCCAGCAAGGTTACAAACTCCTACAGTGAAGAGTTTCAAAGCATTTATTCACTCAAGCTCTGCGTTCATTTCTAAACGGTTCAGGTTAACGCGGTACAAAGTGCACTGCTGTCCTGCTTCTCTGTGTTTGAACTTTGTGTCAGCTGCTGTGAATCCACGGCCTGGCCTCGCTTCACCTCTGAACGTCTGATGCATATTTGTGAAAAGCTGATTGCATTCATACCAGAGGAAGGTCTGAGGGAGCAAGAACAGACGATCCGAAGCAATGAATACAAATGAGAATTGAGGCACTGGCTGCGTGTCGTTCCCCCCCCCCCCCCCCATTTCTCCTTTTCAGGCTGCATTAGTGCTGACTTTTCCAAATGTGTCAAATTTTAGGTCTGTTGTAACTTCTTCATCTCATCAGAAGACTTTCAATCCTCAAATCTAAGTACGTTTCAGACGTGTCAACAGGTTGGTTTACGCTGATACTTTTATTGTTGCTGCAGGCTTCACACTTCACAAAGAGATCCATGTCACATGTGGCACTGTGTAGCAGTGGACAATGAGTTTTGTGTTGAAAAATGCCCTATTCTCTCTGCAGTTTTGCTCTCTAAATCCCATCTTTCTGGCAGGAAGTGTTGCTGCCTGTCACACTTTATCAGCTTCACTTTGCAGCTTCGCCAGTGTTCCTGTTTGTTTGCCTTCAAGAGCCACAGTGTTACAGAGTATCGTCCGTCTGTCGCAATCGTCGCGCTCAGCCACACTTGGCTAATGTTTGAAACACTGAGTCCACCACAGAATGGATCCATGCTGCATGTTTGTGCTCTTATACAGAGGCGCTTACCTCATGCATGGTTTGGACTTCAGTCCTTCAGAGGCTTAGGAAAGCTTGTTTCTCTCAGTTTTGGACACGTCAGTCTGCACCGTCACAGGTGTTACAGTGTGTCCTGCTTTTTGATGGGACAAAATCAGAAGGACATCAGGTTTGTTTTCAAAAAAGTTAGGCTGCTGTGAAGAATATGATGCTTTCACATTTACTGCAGGTCCACTCAGTGAAGCTGCCGTAGGGTGCCAAGGGCCCACAAGTGAGGCAAATAAGGAAGAGACGCGTGATGATTCCTCACCTTTTTTGGTAATGGTTAGAGGATTTGAACCTGCAATGTACTTAGTGCAGCCTCGCATTCTCTGAGCCACAACTCCCCCGGTCAGTGATACAAATATTAAGCTAAAATTGGGTGTGGTAGTAGCTGGAAGTCATCCTCAGTCTCTCATGAGATATTCCATGAGATCGCCCTTATTGCATTTATTTACAAAGTTTGACCAAGATGGCTCTAACTTCATCCCTACTCAATCAAAGATTTAGTCCAAAACTCAGTATAAAAGGTGGCAGGGGATCTGCATTCCTTTAAAAATTGGATATTTATATTTAAAGAAAATGTTTTTAAAGATGTTATTTTTTACATACAGTTAATAAGCTATTTGATTTGATGTTCCTTTATAATCTTTAACAATTATTGAGTTGTTATTGTTTCTTTGATTTCCTGCTTTATTTTTGACACACTTTATAATAAGATGTATGGAATTTGTGCCCACAATCCTATCTCATTATTGATAACATTTTCAGCATGGCTCTGGACATTTATTGTGTTTAAGTTTACTGATAAAACAAGGCAAGACATAAACTAAGAACTAAAGAAGTCCCCCGAATAAACCTGATGATTTTGTACAGAGCAGCTTCAGAAATGGCCTCCACATTAACCATAGAGCTAAATCAAGTCTTAAAAACCTAGTTTGGGAGTATTTTGGAATAAAGTGAAGAAAACAGTCATCCTTTGTTTCCTGAGTGTGCTTTTCATTTCACTGAATGGATGCCAGTCTCAGCTGCACACTTCCCAGGATCACATGTTTGGTGCACGGTGATATCTTGAGGTTTCAGACTCTCCCTGGAGGATCCGCTGCACGCAGGGGGGTGAAAATGACTACAAGCCAATACTAACCATAGCTGCCTCTGCAGGGCTGATTTAAGCTGCACAACAATCCACAATAGACTTTTTTTAAACTATAAATAATATGTAGGACAAAAGGTTTTTAAAAATGCATGATATAATTCATCCTCTGGATGAGATGTTGGTTTGCTTCTAAATCTGTGCTACAAAGTGTGAGAGAAATGATAATTAATAGTGTTATTATTGTTGGAAGTAAAAATATTTGTGAAATATTTTAATTTTGAACATGTGTTGTAGAGCTGTTTAAATTTTTATTTTGTAGTTTACAGTTTTTTCTATATTGTTTTACATATGTATTTCTGACCTACAGTAAATATAACAACTGTCTTTTTTTATTT